AGTTCCGAGGAGAAAGCGAACGCACCATTAGTGAAACGGAAGCTAACATATCAAGCTAATTATATTTACCTACTGGAGCAGATTAAGAGGAGGATGTCTCACTTAGATCGTTGTCGCTGGTTTCATCATCACCCAGTTACCCATCACATTTAGTGAAGTGGACCAAAGCTTTAGCGTGCGTTCTTTCTACCATGCTGCTCTGTTTACAACGGGCTCGCAGCGAGCGACGACATAATGCTCTTGTGCATGCGCAGCTGTCTTGGCAAGTTCTCTTTATGATGGACGGGTACTGAAACGAGGCACCGTTTGAAGTCACATGAATCGGTCCTCGGTCGGTACCATGGAATTCGGTCGGTGCCTTAAAAAGTACCGAATTCGGTATCCATCCCTGCATATGAGTGGAGAATAGTTTGTTATGTCAACTTAGAATTAATACATTAAATGAATTCACACATGTTAAGAGTTAACACATTGTCTAAATGTTAATGAACTTAACTGACGCAAGGCAATCGGTTCCTTGGTTTAATTAGAGTTGAACTTACTCGGCAGGTTTTACAGTGCAGTTAGCCAGTTTTAGAGGGTTAAATGGCCCTTTTTCTGGCTGATTCAGCTTTTTAAGTTATTCAGCAGTTTTAAATATGTTCACAGTTGTGTAAATTATATTAAGACACAATAATGTGTAAAGACCAGAGTGGTAGAGGACCAACCAATCTTCATGAGAAAGTTTTAACTTCCGTTGTCCATGCAGCTCTGTAACTCGTTCCAGCTCCAGTTACTAAACCTTCTCAACTAGGAGAGAAGCTGTTTCTATTTGGAGACAGCCATTGCTAGTTTAGTTAGGGATGTTGTCATGGTTTTAGGTGATTGTTTGACCCAAATGTTGACAAACTCAGAAGACAAGATAAGTTTAACAAGTTTACTTGGTGGTGGATGTAAAGCTGGTTCCAGAGGTATGCTGAGTCTGAGAGAGGGAGAGCAGGTAAGTAGGTGGTTAGGAGAAGAAGGCGAATTAGATGTACAGCTTACTGAGTGGGTTGTCCAAGTGGATAGGGAGGAATGGAATGGAGGGCCCAGGAGTCGATGGTTCCAGTACACTGGGGAGTTAGAGGTCCAGGACTGGTTTTGCTAAATGAATTGTTTTCTTACGGTTGACGGTGGAGGGCGGAGCAGGTGACACACGGCAGACACTGAGCTGCTGAAGAGGACACAGAGCAGGAGGGTGGTGATTATATGAGAAGACTTGGGAGACAACGCAGGGTATTTCCAGGAGGGCGAGGTTCGGAAGAACGAGCCCTAACCGCAGGATTCAGGGAAACAGGAGGCAGTCACTAAGGAGACAGAACAAGGAATTAGCAAATAAGATCTGAGGAGCTCAGCGGCTGGAGGTAACCACAATGTGCAACGCTCTGGCAGTCTGTGTTTGGCTTCCAGTTGCTTTTCCCCATAGCAGTTGATGAGTAATGAATTGCAGGTGTGCAGCACGCTCCCCTGCTGGTGTGTCTGATGAGTAGAGCGTCACCACGGTGCCCTCCAGAGCCCAACCTGTAGACTCCAGGGAAAGAGAATCAAAGGTGAGAGTGAGCAGAACTGGACCCAGGACCCTGACAAATGTGGGTCATTTACCAGACAGCTGCATCTGGGACATCAGATTATTTCATATTTTCCACTTAAACCACCTGATGCTGACTTCTATAACCTGCTGAAGCCCGTTACACACTCAGGATCGCCATGGTAACACCATGTGTCCTCCAGAACAACCAGAGCTGGACCGGGACGTCTGAACATCAGAACCTTTACAGAATCTGTATTTACTGCAGAACTGTTCATCTGCATCTGTTTCATAGCAGTAATCCATCATCTGAGCTCAAACTGGGATTACAATCTTTATGGAGACAGAAGAAGAAATTGGGATTAATTTATGATAAAATATGAGCATAATAAATACGTGTAGACAGGGGCGGATTTAGCAATTTGGGGGCCCAAGGCGAACACAGACATGGGGCCCCTTACACTAAATTTTCGACAATCTTACCTTTAACTGGATTTGCGAAACTCTCCCCTCTTGTGACATGAGTTATTTTCCCTTTTTATTAGTCCTCTTTTTTCCCTGTATTTCCCTCCCTTTGAGTGCTTTCAATATTTGCTCTGCTTTCTTTTTTCTGTCAGCGCTCCTGTGCTTAAGCCTTAGTTATTTTTTTTCTATTTTCCATTTTGGTCCATGTTTTCCTCCCTTTAAACATTTTCCATTGTCTTTACTTTCGGCTTCCTTTTGATGTTTACATCGAAAAACGACGTCACTTTCAGAAGTGAAGATAAAAGCTTTTATGAAGCAAGCTGCTTCTTTCTCTTATTGGAGCCACTAGGATAACTTCATGTCATGCTTAATGTTTTGACTATCGCTTTAAGTTTGTTACGAACGCTCCCGCCTCTCTTCTTATTCTTATTTGTGGTCTTATGGCACTTGGCAAACAACAATTTGGTGCATTACTGCCACCAACTGGATTGGAGTGGAATGACTACCAATCACTTCCTGTTTGTGCATCGCCGTCTTAATAACCCTCTTATGGCCATAATTATAACAGGGCCGCCTGGTATTTTTTTTAATCTTATGGCTGTAAAGTTGTAGTAAAAAGTGCAAAGTGTGTGTAACTCTTCTCCTTTTTTTCAGAACAACCTCAGCTTTCAGTGTATGGTTTGTATTTCCAAACCACTTCAACATTTCACAGAAAAAAACGTGAAGCCGCTTCTCCTCCAGCTTCACTGGCTGCCAGTCAACTTTAGGGTTCATTTCTTAATCCTGGTTCTGGTCTATAGGGCCTTACATGGACAAGCACCATCTTACATTGGTGATCTTCTTAGTCCCTACACCCCCAGCAGGTCCCTGAGGTCCAGTGATCAAAGCCTACTGGTTGTGCAGCACCAGGCTAAAGGTCAAAGGTGACAGATCATTTGCTGCTGTGGCCCCCAGACTCTGGAACTCTCTCCCCCTGAGTCTGAGATCAGTAGACTCAGTGGTCTCCTTTAAAAAGCAGCTGAAGACTCACCTGTTCAAGCTGGCTTTTGTATGGCCTTCTTCACCTCTCTCTCTTTATTCTGCTCTCCCCACCTATTCCACCTTCCTCACTGATTTCCCTCTTTCCTATTCACTCTCTCTTTCTTAACATTTTTTCTTTTAAATCCCAATTGCCTATTTTTGCTCATTTTAAATATATTTTTAAACATTTTCTAAATGCTTTTTTATATTTATATTTTAGTTTTTGTGAAGCGCCTCGTGATTTTTATCTTGACAGGCGCTATAGAAATGATATTTTCTTCTTCTTCTTCTTCTATTTAGAATTTATTTCTATTACAGCCTTTAAAAAATCAGCTTAAAAGTGAAAAAAGCAAAAAACGGATTTGAATTTTTTACAGTTATTACTGAACTTCAAAATTACTGGGCAAACAATTTAAACTTTGAACTGAAATGCATCTATTCTTAAAAAAGTTTGAACCTTGGTGTCTTGTAGCAGTTTTTAAGACCATTTATTTTTGTAAACTTTCAGGTGTTTTTATTTGATGTGGTAGACCTTGAAGCAGTTTCTCTCCAGCTGCAGGCAGAGTCCTGCACACCTCACACCGCCATGGGGTGCTTCTCTGGCACACCGTGCACTGCTATACCAAAAACTTTTGTTTTAGCAAAAATAATTATTTATTGTAAAAAGATAAATAATGGTGGAATGATGCTGAATCTTACAATTAGCAAATAGTTGAGGGTTGTTCAAATAAAAAAATAAAAAATAAAGACTGAACAAACGTTCATATCCTGGTTCACTGGAGATCTGTCCTTCTTCGTGGTCACTGTCTTCAGATATAAGCCTTCTGGGACACCTAATAGATCGTGTTGATTTTCTCTGAGGCATTTCCATAATTTCATGCTGGCTTTTTATGCTAATTAGCTTCCCCGTTCCGTTATCCGCTTTCACCGCGGCGCTGCGCTCCGTTTCAATCAGGCTGTACAGCAGGATTTCCCCTCGTAGCGATATTTCCATAACTCTGATTGCTTCATGCTATAGATCGTTGGAAAGCTGCTTTTATGTACTTTTAGGAACCGTTGAAATTTCCTGGATCTGATCAGCCAATCAAAAGTTATAAAACGGAGCATTTTGGATGACACTCAGCACGTCTCTGAATCTGTGTTGTGATTCGGTGCGCTCAAGACAGGGAATCCCGGTGGCTACCGTAATGTATTGTATATGCACGGAAAGCCCCATTTTTAATCTTTTCAGCACTTTTGGAATTTTAACGATATCTTGAACGGTTCAGGAATTATGGTAATGAGAAGTGCGCATGTCCAATCCCGTCTACGGCCACAGGTTGGTTAACAGAGGGGTGCTGGCGGTCAGGGCTAGGGGGCCCCCCAACACAAGAGGGCCCCAGGCGGCCGCCTACCTATGCCTAATGGTAAAACCGCCTCTGCGTGTAGATGTGTAACTAAACAGTTACAGGTCACACTTTGCATTCATGTTTCAGACGGTCTGATCCTGAGTGGTGAGGAGCAACAAGCAGGTGGAGGCTGCAGGTGAGCTCAGAGATGGGGTAAAAGCTGGTGGTGGGGTGATATCAGAATAAAAATGATCAGGAGGGCTTTACTGTCCACTGCTTGTTACCTGTAGGCTCGGTTCTGCTGCCCCCTGACCGACTCCGGGTCTGCTGCTCCTTCATCAGCGGTGAGTCGCTGTGGACAAAAGCGTCTGCTACATACACAATGATGCTTCTGGCTGCGGTGGTACACGCTTCCTCTGAGCTTCTTCAGCAGCTCTGAAACCTCACAACCCAAACCCAGCAGCTGCCCGTCCACTCTGGGCTGTTTCCTGCCTGCTCCTGGTCCGGACCGGACCCTGCAGGTGTTGGTTCGGGGTGAATGAGGCTCATGCGGTACCGGACCTGCAGTCGGAACACCGGTTCCGCTGCCAGCCGGGGTATGAAGACCTGCCTAGGTCTGACACCGGGGCGGAGGGCGGAGCCGCGCACTTACTTCCTGCAACTGGTCTGGGTCGGCGCGCGAGGGCTGTTCTTTTTGGGCTCGGCTCGCTCCGCTGTTCGAACCAAAAACTTTTGAAGAGTCGTTCCGCAACAAGTCGCGGATATCCCGAATGGAAACGGATCGTCTCCTGACCCACAGCGAGGACCGGGACGGTCCAAGTTCGGCCCGCGGCTCCAGGCGGTCCCACTCAGTCATCACGAGCTTGGACCCGGACTCAGGTGAGTGGACGTCTCCGATCAGAACAGGTGATCCGTCACGTGACTGTCCGGCTGCGCCGGTTCCGAACGGTGCTATAACAACTTTAGTGCTAACTGCACTGTAAAACCTGCTGAGTAGGTTCAACTCAAAGTAAAGGTGGCGTCTCCAGTGTGTGTGTGTGTGTGTGTGTGTGTGTGTGTGCGCGCAACTGGGTTTTTAATGCTGAGACCTGCTGCTCCACATCAGAGAGCCTGGTCAGAGTCCTACCCGTTAGAACGGGGACAGGTCCTCTGGTTCTCAGCTCTGTGTCCGACCGGTCTGTCCCTGGACCAGGACAAAGCTCCTGGGAGGCTGAACCAGAACCAGAAGTAATGTGTAAGGCATCAGCATGACCGGACCAGGAGCCTCCACCCTCGTTTGATGGTGCAAAATCAGAATCAGCTCTACTGTCAGTGCCCCAGCCTGCTGAAGCATAGAAACGTGTCTCCACAGCACAGCCTGACCAAGGTTGGACACAGACATGCAGAGCAGACCACCAGAGCGGCCGTAAGAGGCGCTCATGTGGGTGGAGGGGGAGCAGAGACGTCCTAGCATGAAGCCTCAGGGTCGTATGATCTGAAACTCTAAGCCATTTCCCTGTCAGAGCACACACACACACACACACACACACACACACACACACACACACACACACACACACACGAGTGATGACACATCCTGCTGTGATGAGCTGAGTCAGCTAACCACATGTGTGTTTATGAGTCTGATTGATGGAAAGATCAAGATGTGACCTCTATGTTCACCTCTGCTCTGGCTGTTTAAACTCAATTCAGCTTATTCGGAATTCCGCAGCAGTCGTGGGGGTGCGCAATATTTACCCGTGACAAAACAACATGAGGTGATCAGTAAACAGTGTAAGGTAACTTGTACGCTCCACATAAACACAACCCAGATGAAAAATACCCTAACAGTCGATGCATTAAGATGCAGACATAAACGATTATGAATCTTTGAAGAAGCACGCTTAGATCTGGTCCGGCTTAAATCTGGTCCAACATAGATCTGGTCCAGCATAGATCTGGTCCAGCATAGATCTGGTCCAGCATAGATCTGGTCCAACATAGATCTGGTCCAACATAGATCTGGTCCGGCATAGATCTGGTCCGGCATAGATCTGGTCCAACATAGATCTGGTCCAACATAGATCTGGTCCAACATAGATCTGGTCCAACATAGATCTGGTCCAACATAGATCTGGTCCAACATAGATCTGGTCCAACATAGATCTGGTCCAACATAGATCTGGTCCAACATAGATCTGGTCCAACATAGATCTGGTCCAACATAGATCTGGTCCAACATAGATCTGGTCCAACATAGATCTAGTCCAGTTTAGACCTGGTCCACCGTAGATCTGGTCCACAGTAGATCTGGTCCAGCTCTAAACTACAACACTTAGAGTCTTTAATCCTGGACTAGATTATTCTACATTAACAGCAAAATCCATACCAGACAGTTGGTAAATTGTGAAATCTTTTGTAGATTAGTGAAAGTCCAAAGAAGGCAACTTTCTTCAGTGATGTATTGAGAGTTTGGATCATGTTATAAAAATGTTTTTTTCAGTTGTACAGGTTTATTAACAGTAGGCTATGTTTATCTGGGTCACCCATGAAATAAAACATTTTATAATGAGAGCAGATTAAAGATGCATTCAGTTGAAAAATTAGCTGGAATGAACCTTTCCACATTAGAAACTAGAAAGGGAACCGATTCAGCTTTGTAAAAAAACAAACAATAAACGAATAAAGTAAATCAGTCACGTTCAGAACCTGGAAGACCCGTGATGACACCAAACATAGTAAAAAGTTAAATAAAAAGTCTTTATTAGATGTGACGTTACCGAAGAGGGCGAGGCAGGAGACAGAGTCGGAGAGGAGGCGATGGTCAAAACCAGATCGGACGAGCAGGTACAGGGAACAGGCTGGAGACGAGGTAGCAGAAAGGCGAGGGTCGTGGTGGCAGGCAGAGTTCAAGGCAGGGGTCAGGAGTGAGAACGAGGTCCGGAGGCTGAGATCAGGCAAGGTGAAAGGCTGGAAGATTTACTGGCAACAGGCGTTCAATAATCTGGCACTGGTTGGAGAGCAGGCTGGGAGTTAAATAGCAGAGGGAGCAGGTGTGTGGGATGACCGGATTACAGGAACAGGTGAGATGAATGAAGTTGATGAGGTGCAGGCTGAGGCTGCTGTGGAAACAGGTCATGGCAGCAGAGGCAGAGGAGGGTGAAAGACAGGGAGTCATGACAAAAACAAGAAGAAATAAAAGATTTAGCCAAATTATTGAAAAAATAAATCTAATTTCTAAATGATGGCCATGCTTAGGACCAGTGTTGGGCAAGTTACTTCAAAACTGTAATGCATTATTTATTACTTGTTACTCTCATTTTAAAGTAATTCATTACATCACAATATTACTGATTTTAAAATGTAAGGCATTACACTACTTTTGCATTACTTTAAGTTACTTTCACCCAAACAACTTGAATATGAATTCATGAGGATCCAAATGCAGGGAAGAAGGCAGGCAGGGACGTTTTAGAGGGTTTTTAATCACGAACACACATGACATGAAAACAACGGACAGACAAGGAACACAGAACTGGGAGGGTTTAAATAAACGCGGAGCTGGGATCTACCGTGATTGGGAGACGAGAGGCAGGTGGGAGCAATTAGGAAAGAGACAGGACTGAACAGAGTGGGGAGACAGGAGCGGTTGTGACAGTATTATGTTAGCAGCTGTAAGTAGTTTAAGGCTATTTAACATATTCATAAAGAGGACAGCATGTTAATGATATGGGCCCATCCCAGACTAAAGCTGATATATGTTAATCCAATTAGAGCTCATGATTGAACTCCACATTTATTAATTATTTAGCCACCAACAACAAAGCTGCAGTTGCTGCTACCGCTGTGGGCCAGCGGTGGCGCTAATTCACCACCTCGTAGCTGCCAGCCACCGATTACAAAAAGGGTGACGTCACTGGCCTCATCCAATCACAAAGCGTCTGAAGCCTAGCTGCTAGCCTGCCACGGACCAGGTGTGTTCTCCATCATGTGTTACCATGGTGACTGGGAGGATTTCAGCTAGCCACGTTCTGAGAACCGATTTAGGGGCGGTTACACCAGAAATCTCACAAGAAAACCTGGTTTTGGGAAAATATCGCTCTCTGGAATACTCCCTGGTAGGGATGGGTACCGAATTCGGTACTTTTTAAGGCACCGACCGAATTCCATTGTACCGACCGATAGGGCTGGGCGATATGGCAAAAATAGAATATCACGATTTTTCCAATATTTTATCACGATTTCGATTTTATCACGATTTTTTATCCATGAATAGCATAACTTCAATTGTGTATTAAAGAAGAAAAACATTGAATAAATAAACATGTATTCATATTAGGAATAATCAACACAGTGCTAACACACTTAAATTTTAAACTCACACCAGAGATGATAAAAGCCCTGAGAGAAACAATTACAAAAATCAGTTTTTCTCGTTTTTCAAGTAACTTAACATGAATTAAAATCGTAAACATATTTAAAGTGCAAACATGTCAATTGCAAACATATTGTGCAAACATTAACTTGTTCAAAATACTATGTAGCTCCCAGTTGCTCATGTAGTGGATAGTTAAGCTCAAATATGGCTCTGATGTGCGGCTGGACTAGAGATCGCTTGTGGTAGCAAATAACTGCGCATTCTGAATATTTTCTGCAACTCTCACTTTGCATTCAGCGTACATGCGTGGAATGGCGGTGTTCGAACAATACTTGCGGCTGGAAAACTCGTAGCGCGGATCCAATGTTATTATCATTTTCTTAAATCCCACTCCTACTGTTCGCACGGGACACAAATCTTTAACCAAGTGGTACGTCACTGCATCTGTCACGCTGTTCCATCGTCTGCTGTCTCTGTCGTAGGGAGTGAGTTTTGTGAGTGTTTATGTTAGCGTTTGCTGCCTGGAAGAAGCACTAGCCGCTGCCGCTGCAGCCGCAGGCTTTTTAGCTTTAGGTGCCAGCTGGCTCTCATTGTATTGTTTGGGATGCCTTCTTTTCAAGTGATTAAACACGTTTGTGGTGTTGCCATCACTTGCCTTGACGCTCTCCTTGCAAACTTTGCAAATGACGTTTCGCTGCTCTTTGTCATCTGGTGAAAAACCGAACCCGTTCCAGAGGCGTTCCTCTTCGGAACGAAAACCTCGTTGTCGCTCAGCCGCGGCCGAAGCCATGTATGTTCACACACAGGTGAAAACAAGCGGGGCACTAATATATTACTATGACTCACTCTGATTGGTTAAGGGTCAAACAAAGGCGTGTCATTCGCCTGGGGTAAGTTCCCTTTTCATTCAGAGGCAGAAATTCAACAGCAGAGCTGTGAATCGTGATAAAAAGGTCTCTCAAAAATGACAGACCGTCAGATGTGTAGATCGTAAAACGGTCTAAAATCGCCCAGCCCTACCGACTGAGCACCAATTCACGTCATTTCAAAGGTGCCTCGTTTCGGTACCCGTCCTTCATAACGAGAACTTGCCAAGACAGCTGCGCATGCGCAAGAGCGTTATGTCGTCGCTCGCTGCGAGCCAGTTGTAAACAGAGCAGCATGGTAGAAAGAATGCACGCTAAAGCTTGGGTCCACTTCACTAAATGTGATGGGTAACTGCGTGATGATGAAACCAGCGACAACGATCTAAGTGAGACATCCTCATCTTAATCTGCTCCGGTAGGTAAATAAAATGTTTAAGGTAACGTTAGCTTGATATGTTAGCTTTCTTTACGCTAATGGTGCGTTCGCTTTCTCCTCGGAACTCCAAATTTCCTACTAGAAGAACATGAACGCGCTCTAAAGTTTGGCTTCACTTTACTAAATGCGACGGGTGATTGGGTGAAGATGAAACCAGTGACAACGATCTAAGTGTGAGGCATCATCGTTTTAATCTGCTCCAGCAGTTAAATAAACTGTTTAAGATAACGTTAGCTTGATATGTTAGCTTCCATTGCCACCGTTGTTATCAGCTAATGGTGCGTTCGCTTTCTTCTCGGAAATTCTAACTTCCCAGTAGGAAAAATCAAATGGCAAAAGGAATAAAGATACGCAGTAAATTTAGTTCACAGTAAAGATGTTTGCTTCAGTTTAATTATCAGCTTATAAAACTACAAGGACAATGTTAAAATACAAACAGTTGTATGTTATTTATCGTGATATTTATCAAATATTGTTATATATTGAGAAAAGTATTTAATTATAAAAGAGAATTAAAATAATAAACACTCAAAAGTCAGTGTTTCCCCTAGGAATTTTTCCAGCTGTGGTGGTGGGGGGCTTGGGGAGGAATTATGACAAGTCCCTTAATAAAGTAAAATTTTACAGTTCAGATTGGAGACAACCCATAGAAGCGCTGATTTGATCTCATTTCAGAGAAAAATAGAACAGGTTAGATGCACCTAATAAATAAAATTACTAACAAACTCGGGAATCAGTCTCTTTGCTTCACTGTTCTGGTGCTGAAAATATCACTAATGCGGATCAAAGGAGATACACAGATGAATGCACCTCTTGTTTATTATTTGGAGACTACATTTACTGCAGCTGGCAGAGGCAGAGATTGTTTCTATTGATACACAGAATTAACAGAATCATTTTAAATGTTAATAGGGGAAGACTGCAGGAGGGAGCGGTAAAATACAGCGGGTCCCCAGCAAAAACAAGAAACTACGAGTCTGATGAAACCCGCTGGATTTCCATCAGGCAGTCACGGGGCAGCTCCAACGACCCAGTAGCTGTGCTGGGTCAATGTTATCGAGCTCAGTCCGGTACCGGCTTGGCCGTGAACGAGCCGAGGCGACGTCGTGCTCTGCTTAAGAAGAAGTGTTATTTTCCCGCTTCAGAAGAAGCGTCCAACGTGTTTTTAACGCTTTCTCCGAGACATGTCACGTCGCTAAGTTGTTAGCGCCGCGCAATAGTGCAGCGTAGCCTGCTGGAGGTTTTAAGGGTTCAGATGAAAACACCCGACCTCTCACGCTGCTCACACATCAATCTTAAGTTGTCGCTGTTGCGCTCACGCCGTAATACAGTAGTAGATGCGGTTAAAGTCAGACATGAAAAAATAAACACATTTTACATGAATAAGTGATGCTTAGCCTGGTGGGGGGAGGAAACCTGGCCTAATAAGCACTGGAGGAAACCCTGTCAAGATCGTCAACACTCGTTTATCTTAATGCTATTGAAGCATGTAAACCAAAAAGCATTATATCCACTGCTACCTTTCTAATTTTAAACTCAGTAATTTATGCTGTAACTGCACCTTGCTCTGCCTGCTCCTCCTTGCTGCCCGCCGGCTGTGATCACAAGCGACAACATAGTAGTTCCCACTGCTTCTTCAGGAAACAGAGCACAAAAAAAATAAATAAATAAAACTTGGGATCTTGTAGGCGTGGCGGTAAGATTTCAGCCGTGGCGGCCTGAAAGTATCGAAAATTGGTACCGTTAAGTACCGGTATCGATTCCTAGGTACCGGGAATTAGTACTGAATCGATTCAAATGTCAAAGGTACCCATCCCTACTCCCTGGTAATCGGGTAACAAGAGGCAGGTGCAAACCAAAAACTAAGCAGACAGGAATCACAGGAGCAGGGAAGGGATCAAGTCTCAAGGATCTGCACACGGTAAACATTCCAATACAGGTCAGCTCATTAAGCCAATCAATAAAAAGTTTCCTACATAAGGATCCCAGCAGGTTGCATCAAGTCACTGACTAGTGTCAGAGTCTTTACAGCAATCCTCATACTAAGCAAGCATGCAGCGACTCCCTTTTAACAGGAAGAAGCCTCCAGAGGATCCTTGCTCAGTATAAGCAGCCATCTTCTTTAGTCAGACTTTAAGAACCCATGTTGTCTCTTCTGTCTCAGATAATGAGAGTCTGTACATCCAGCAGGCTGTGGTGTTCATTGAAGATGCTTTTCATGTGAGTTTATTTAATCACACATGTTTATGTCTCCTCCTCTGAGATCATGTGACCAGTTTAATACAGGTTGTGTATGAAGAGTCTGTTTAACAGGGCTGCCAACTCTCATGCATTTGACCCTCTTCACACGCTCTCATGCCACACCTCCAATATCTCACTCTGAGCCAGCGCCGCCGCTCCCTAAACGCATATCACACACACTGCGTAGGGCACCGAGTGGCCAGAGGGGCACCAAGCAGTCAGGCTTATGAAAAAAAACTGATTATATTAAATATGGTATAAGCTATTGGACAACATGCACACACACTGAGGTAATCATCTAACTGGCGTTACTTCACACACAATCCTGTATAACCCAAGCCGATGTGCTTCCCTCCACTCTGGCTGTGAGGTGGGCGGAGCTGTGAGCTTCACCTGCGGCGAATGGGACAGGATGGCCCAGTTCTCTCTCACAGAACTGTGAGCTGTCAAAATGGCATGCTTTTATTTTGAAATGCAGCCGCATCGCCAACTGGAGCTTCAGTCCCGAATGTTTTTTGTCTTTTGTTTTCACTCATCAGCGACAGATCGCTACTCCCACTCACAGCAAGCTGGGCGTTCCACTGTGGTTTGGCAGTGAATTAAAACATTTGGAATCCTAATGTTTGAATTCACCGCTTCACCAGTGTGTTTTTCCTGTTTGTGAGACCAACCCCTCTTCCGTATCCAGGTTACTGGTACGGAAGCCTGGAGAGGCCAACATTCCTCAAATGTGTTTTTTCCTACTTGCTGAAAAGAATTAATTGAATATAACATAATACATTATTAATCCCACAGTGGGACATCCACTCATTACAGCAGCGCATGCACGTAGTATCATGGATTTTAACAATATGTTTATCAATAACCCATTTCCTGCAGTCGGAGAGAGAAGGAGACAATGAGCACCAAGTCAAATAGTTAAAACTGGTAAAATGCCCCGAACATTCGGTCACAGAGTTTATTTATAGAGAGAGAGAGATTGTGTGTGTGTGTGTGTGGGAAGTCAAGAATGTGTGTGTGTGTCTTGTGTGGGTGTGTCTGAATAAGTGAGCATGCAGAGAGGAATAGGGCAATACATTTACTTTCAGTTGATTGAATCAAGAATTAATAAACATAAATTTTTCCATAACATTCCCTCCTGTTTATCTGAATAGGATAACCAAACAAAAGGAAGCAACAAAACAAAACAAAACCAAATAAGGAAAACGGGAATAAGTAGAATAATAAGGAATTTTATCCACTTCCATAACTTGTTACCATCATCCATGAAAGCTACATCAATCACGACTGTAGACAAAAATGATAAGCATCAAAACAAGAAAAATAATAAGTAAAGTAATAAACACTCTGATCAGATATGAAAGGTCCAGAATCAACACGATGAGGCAAACACAGCATGAGGTGCTGCAATCATTTGTCTACTGCAGATCGTAATCTCAATCCCGTTAACTTGTCCAAAGAATCATTCCATACAAAGTTCAGTACAAAAATCAGCAAAATAATAAGAACAAATAAAGTAATAAACACGATAATGTAAACACAACTGACAATAATATCTTACAGCAGTTCACAGAGATAGAAAATGGAATCTGCTAAATCAACACAATTATAACCTTAAGAAAAACTATTTCATACATATTGAAATGAATTTACTGTGATGCACAATTCTACAATTTATGGCAGTTCCTGTAAGGAGATTGGGAAGGGTTCGCAAAACCAGATAATACACTGAAAACATCAGTACAGTGTATTGAAACATCATGTGAATTTAGCTTAAGGCTCCAAGTTGCAGATGAGTCTTTCTGTGAAGGAGGAAAAATGAAGGTGTAATATTAATTTATGCAGCTCTAACTATGGCAGAGCTGAGGCAAACCAGGCGTTCTTCATCAAAGGGCTTGTCCGTGGACTGAGAGTCTTGGTTGGAGAATAGGTTTGAAAGTCAGAGTCCTCTTCCATTGATCAGGATGGTTTCAGTCTTACGTTGATGAGTACCTTGATGTCCAGGTCCGAAGCGTAATAACGTAGATCGGAACATGAAGCGCAAAGTTCAACTTCTCAATAGGAAGACTTCAGGGTTCTTCCATGGCGTGTCGAGGCGATTGTCCAATTGTCAGGGAGCTGATCTTGTCCCCGAAAAGTCCTTCAGGTCCTTGACCGTGAACCCAGTCTGGAGATTTGGGTGCAGGTGCTTGAAGTAGTTGGTCCTTTTCCAGCGTCTCTTCTTCGCTGTGTCCTCTTGTAGTTGTGTCCAGGAGTCGTCAGCTGAGGTGGATGCAGGTTACGTTGTCATGTAGATGAGCGGTCGGGGAGAAGCCCCAATCCGTCATTTCAGCTCCAGTTCTAGTACCCCCTCAAATGCTGCTCTCTCAGTTATTCCACCAGGTGCTGAGAGGCGGCCCAAGTGCAGGGCCATGAGTGCGACCACCAACATCAACAATGTGGTGAACCCAGCAAGCTTGATGCAGATCTTTATCTTATCTTTATCTTGATCTTATCTTCACCAGTTTGAGAGATGGCACCCTGGTGGTGGCCCACCCCTTTGAGGCGGACTTCGTTAACGCGCTAGAGCAGTTAGTTGACGGTGATGAGCTTGCAGTGGGATTGATGAATCCAAGATGGCCTCTCAGCAATCTTCACAGCAGTGGGAGTAATGAGGAGTACTTCGAATGGACCTCTGGCTGCCCCATCTGTTTCGCTTCAGCACCTTCATCAGAACCCAATTTCCTGGTTTCACGACCTGTGGCGAAAAAGCTCAAGAAAATTCTGGGAGATCACTGTTGATTTTGAATTGTTTTCAGCAACAGTCATCTAATATTTAAGGTAATTCCATCCAGGCAGTGTAATAATTTGAGAAAATTGTTATCAGTCTTCCCTCCTCGCTCACCAGAAACAAAACATAACCAAAAAGGGTCCGACACCAACAAACATTGTGCCAACCCGATGTTAAAAGTGGACCTCACATACATGTGAAAAACACCCATCCCAAGGAACTTGCAATTACTAGCTCACATCAGCAGGTAGCAGAGTCGTGCAACACAGTGTGCATAAAACAACAAAACAAACCAAAACAAACTAAACAACTAACAAAAAGCCATAATCCGTGGAAAGAAAATTGAAAATAAACACAAAAAGTGATTTACATTACGTAGGTTTAACAGGAGAAATTGTAGTAAAAGAACTGTAGCAAAAATAATTATCTAATAAAATCAAAAAGAATCAACCCATCTGGGAAAAAGGGTGAGCTTGTCAACATCCCCAAGCTCATATCAAAAATAATAATATCATAGACTCAATGTGTTTGCTCTCATTATGCCAGAAACGTTCACCTCTAGTGACTTCTTAATTTAATTTCTTTGCTCCTAGCACTGGAATTAACTAACAACGAAACCAGTCCTAATTAGGCTTGGGCGGTATTACGGTATTACCGTATACACGCGGTATTACAAAATAGCGACGGTGTCAGTTCCAATACCGTCATGAAAAACAGCTGTGCGACTGACCAGTTCCTCTATCCTCCCCATACTCCAGCTCTGCAGGGAGAGAGTGTTGGCTGTGTCAGAAAACGACCTCCAGCTTACAAAGTCAATAAAAACCACAATTCTAAAAAAGCTGGAGGCCAAGTATGAATCTGATTCAGTGCGCAAATTAATGCGAAAATGCCCTTTCCTCGACCCTCGTTACAGTGGCAGATACGAGCTTGATGACAACGCACTGGCTGAAATCAAAGCTGAATTACAGGCTGAGATCGTGAGCTTAGAGGGGCAAACAGCACCCGAAGCATCCAAACCATAGAGGAACGAGCACAACCTGAACCCCCACGCAAAAAGATGTCTCTGTGAGCTCTCCTGCAAAAACGAGCCGCTGCGCTGACGCGCTGCGCCGGAGGGTCCCGTCAGCCGCGCAGAGCAGCGAGCTGGAGCTGAAATAACAGCGTACTGTTTGGAACCTGTTATTCAAGGGGACGAAGACCCTCTTCTCTGGTGGAAATATGCTGGCAGTCGTTTTCCCCAGATGTCACGACTGGCCCGGAGGTATCTATGTAATTGTGCCACCAGCTCACCATCGGAGCGGGTTTTCAGCACCGCAGGTAAAGTTGTTGGTCCACAACGTGCAAACTTGAACCCAGAAAAAGTAAAACATTCTGGTTTTTCTGGCGAGAAATCTTAACTAGATTTGCTGCAACATGCCGTAATGTGTCCTGTGTGTGTGTGTGTGTGTGTGTGTGTGTTCGCGCACGCGTGTGGCCGTGTGACGAGTTTTCTTTTTATAATTTTAATGCAGTTGTTTTGGTTGTAATAATTTTTATAATTTCAATGTTTATGGTTATTCAACTCTTGTTGACTGTTACAGCTTATTTGCACTGTTTCATGCTGCTTGTTGATAAGTTGTTCACTTGATTTGCGCACAACAGCGGTCCTGGGTTTTTACGTTGATTTAGTGCAGTTGGACTGTTGACTCTTTGCACTTGTTCATAAGCCGCGTTTTTGTGTTAATAAATGTTGTTAATAGTATGTGAGTTGCGTTGTTATTTTTTTAGTAATTGTTTGGTATTCGGATTCAGAAAGGTGAAGGTCCACTTGAGGCTTACGTCATACTTTTTAAGTATTCACGGTAATACCGTATACCGGGGTAAAATTAAGTGGAAGTTAGACGGTATTCAAATTTGGATACCGTCCAAGCCTAGTCCTAATTATAAAAATAACATTTCAGCTCCACATAGATTCAGCAAGGTAAGGTTGCTTCAGAGAACATCAACAATGTACAATGTCACTTAATAATGCTACTCAAATAATGTGTAAACTTTGTCAGCAGGAGATAAATACTTCTAAATTAAAGCTCCATAAGTGAAATCGGACAACAGAATTATCTAGGGAAAACAAAGCCCATCTGTCACATAGAGACAGTGAACGATCGAAATTAAAACAGCTGACGGTGTTCTTAGATAGATTGAAAAGATGATAATCGTTTCAGGAAGTGAA